TGGGCAAGGACACCCCTCAGAGTGAGAGCCACTGAGCAGGGCTGTCACAGAGGCCCCTTTTCCTGCTCCAAGGACAGGTTGGGGGGGAGTATGGGGGACATCTGCCCCCTCCCAGCTGCTTCCAGGAGCCACTTCTTTCGAGATGAGGCACTCTCCTGCCTGCCTGTTCCCATTTGGCTGCAATAGACCATTGCCAACATTCAGAGAACAAAAAGGGGCCTCACCTGTTTCCCCGACACGTCGGAGGCAGGTGGGTATGTCCAGGGGACCTGGGGTAGAACCTGAACATCTGTCCACCCCCAGGCCATGCTGGCTTCATCTCATCTGTGTGATGGGGGTGGGGGTGGGAATTACCAAGAGACCATCACACAGGCCATGGACAAGTTCTACAAGAGCCAGGTAGAAGAGCACCGTCCATGCATGCTGCCCGGCACCCAGCTCACACACGTATCTCTTATTTGACAGCTTCCCCAAAGCAGGCTTTGAAGTCCAGGCTCCCCGAGAAGCCTGGGGAGGAGACTCTGCCAGGCTAAAGGGCCTATCCGCAAAGGTGCACACCCTCACCAGTCTCATCCTGACGATCTTTGATTATTTTTGCCCTGAAGTTTTGGAGAGGGGGACAGAGACAGCAGACAGTACGCATTAGCCACCTTTCCAGAGAGCATCAGCCCTCCAGACTGGGCAGGTCTGACCTCCACTCGGGCGTTTTTTGCACTGGCTGCCAGTTGGGGGAAGCAGCATTTGTGAGCACCTGCCCGTCTCCTCAGGTCCTGTTCAGAAACCCCCATCTGTGCCTCTGGAGAGACTGCCCCGAGCACACAGGCCCAGCAACTGCCATCTATGGCCCCCAGGACCTAATCCCCTTCTACATAGGGGTCAGTGCATGTGAGTATACACTGGGCTTGATTTCTGCCCACTAGTCCCTGCCAGATATCCCATACCCACCTCAAGAGAATGAGGCCACACAAACACATCGAGGCCGTCATGGTGATGGAGTGGCTGGGGTCCTACTTGCCCACCCTTCATTGCTGGTTCAGAGCCAGCTGTCTGACCACATTCCTACCCTGAGATGGGACTTTGGGAACATTTCCCACCAGGGTCACTGACCACTTTTAGGGGGTTCCAGAAACAGGACCATCTGGTCCCCTAGAAGTCTGGAACATGGGATAAGCCAAGGCTTACCTTCAGAACAGGTTTTCCACCACATAGCCGCCCAAGGCCCAGGGCATCCCCAGGTTTATGTGAAGCCTGTCTGCCATGTCCACAGCCCATGCCGACCCCTCCTGGAGCCACTGGAATGCTTGTTCCGGGGCACGCGACAAACCCAGATAGCTTCAGCCTTGCAGGACGACCATGCAAATCTGGCAGCAGTAGCCGGAGGGGGGCCCATAGATAGAAGTTGGAGGTGAAGCCAGATGCTGTGAGAATACTTTATTCAGCAAAATCGTATTCTATAAAATTGCTTTAAAATGCAGCAGGAGGAGAGGTGAAGACACAAACAAGTGCGTAGTGACACATGGCAGTCAGAACACAGTAAAGAATCCACACTGCTTCCCCCCTTTACCTAGAAAAGGAAAGTTCTAGGCCGCCTCCTCCTCCTCCTCAGCATATTCCTCAAACTCCTCCTGCTCGGCTGTGGCATCCTGATACTGTTGATACTCAGAAACCAGGTCGTTCATGTTGCTCTCCACCCCAGTAAATTCCATCTCATCCATCCCCTCGCCGGTATACCAATGGAGGAAGGCCTTGCGCCGGAACATTGCTGTAAACTGCTCTGAGACACGCTTGAAGAGCTCCTGGATGGCCGTGTTGTTCCCAGTGAAGGTGGCTGACATTTTTAGCCCCCGGAGTGGGATGTCACAGACGGCTGTTTTGACGTTGTTGGGGAGCCAGTCAGCGAAGTAGCTGCTGTTCTTATTTTGAATGAACAGTTCATCCACCTCCCTCATGGGCATGCGACCCCTGAAAATGGCAGCCGCCGTTAGGTAGCGGCCATGACGGGGGTCACAAGCTGCCATCATATTCCTAGCATCAAACATCTGCTGCGTAAGCTCAGCCACCGTCAGGGCTCGGTACTGCTGGCTGCCCCGGCTGG